ATGTATTTTGGATAAAATCGCGTATGTGCTTGAATGCTTGCCTTTATTGTGTGTTCATACCATTGCCCCTACCTTATTTCTTCCCTTGGTGTTTGTGCTTAGGTTTTTGAAGTTAAGAATTGCAAAGAAGAAGCCAAGGAAGCATGAGAGAAGATTCGAAGAAAGCAAGGTGCGTGGGCGTGCAAACCGGTGCGCGGGCGCATACAAAAGGCAGAAATGAAGAACAGAGGCAGAACCTTTGTGCGGGCTGTGCGCGGGTGCGCAACTCAGCAGCACGAGCGCACACCCACACAAGCAAGCCGCGTAAACCCACGAAAGCGCGGGCGCGCCCAAACCCCTGTTCGGCTTATTTTTCCGGGCCTTATTTATCTCTTGAAGCTCTTTGTATGGCATGATAGATTAGAGAATTCCTTAGATCTATTTCTCTAGTTTTAGGAGAGCTTCTCTCTCTAGGTTTAGCTTAGGATTAGAGTAGTTTAGAGAGAGAAAGTGAGGGTTTCACCATTGTTGAGCTTGGATTTTAAAGAGGAAGATTGATCATCTTGTTTGTAGATATTCACCATCAATCAATGAGCAATTCTTACCTTCTCTTCTCTATCTTTATTGCTTTCTTTTGATTTTGCTTTGTTGACTGCTTGTTAATGATGTTGATGCTTGTTAATTTTTTTATTAATCTTGTTATTCGCATGATTAGTGAGTAGTTCCCCCATTAAGGGGAAGGTTATGGTGTAGTTGGATCTTGAGCATGTCTTAGGGTTTGGAAGTGATTAATTTGTGATTAAAATGCTTTGTTTTCCATGTCTACTAATTATTGCATTTGAGAGGCCTGTCAATTATTGCAGTTGAGTGGATTGAACTAGGTTATGGTGATAGCGTGATCTAGGAATGTCCATTGAATGATCGGCTTGAATTGTACCCCGATTCACATGGCTTATGACGATAGTGTAAGCTAGGGGATGAGTTGGGAAAACAATTAGCCTTGACAGGTGGTTAGATTTCGCTTTAAATCATTGACATGAGTTGCTTAGTTCGCATTTTGATTCAATTCCATGCTTTGTTTATGCTTGAGTGAATGCTATGCCTAACCATTTCCTTAGTGTTTTAGCCATTGTCTTAGTCTAGTCTAGTCTTGTAGTGTTAGTTGTCATTTCTTACCTCTTGTTGGCCTAGCTTAATTGTTGGCAGTGTTGGTAGTGATTAGCCGTTCTTCATGGATCGACCCTTGACTAACGTAATTAAAGACTAATCAAAGCACACTGCACAAATCTTGAATAGTAATCACTATACATATAAATTTAATGAATGCAAGCAAATGTAGAACAATCAAACTGCAAGTACGCAATAATTCAAAAACTCCTCATCAATTTCCACTCATTTCACAAATGTGACTTGAATTATGATTAAAAATGCATTTATTAAGTTAAATTCAACGAAAAAAATAGAATCAAAACTTTCTTCTGGAGTTGAACTTTTTCCTCCTCGATAATGTATCATCAAAACCAAAAACCTACCATTAGAAAATGAGATTGAAATAAAATAAAATGCAAGAAACAAAGAGAAGAGGAGGAGGAGATAGAAACCTTTTAGTGAAAGTGATGACAAGAGCTTCACGAAACAGAACATTAGGGCCAATCTTCGTCGTTAGCGAGGGATTAGCATTGTCTAAACAAGAAAAATTCAAGCAATTACGATCAAATTTGACACAATCAAAGAAAAAATTACAAAACATATTTCTAAATCGCATATCATAAGCTGTAAACAAGTAGATGGATAAAAATATAGTACGTGACATCATTTTAGCACCACCCACATTTTCAAGGAAAGGAAGAAAAGTCTTAAGTTATCATGTATATAGGCTAATTTGCTCATATGTTAGGTACACATGAACATTCCAAAGAATCAACTTCAAATCAAACTTATGCAACCCACAAACAATTAGAACCTCCAATTAAAAATTCTAAGCAAACAAAAATGCAATGTCCCAAAAAAATAATACAAAGACAGAAACTTAACCAATTAAAAACTTGGGTGATCTGAAACTTGCAATCACTTTGATATATTATGTGATTAACCAAGAAGCTGAAAATGACAAAACTATCTACTTTGGTGGACCTAATAGTCCTATGGGAATACATGTTCCCCGCCCTTGTCCACTAAGCTAATTCAACTTAGGTATAGATACTTATCACATCATCTTGCATCAAAAAGATGCACATTGCTGAGTCTGATTTAGATAACCACTAGACAAATAAATCATCATATTAATTCTCCAATAGCAAAACAATTTTCCATAAAATTTCAAACATAAAAAGGATAATCGAAAATAAAAACTAAAACATATCAAAATTTACTTCTATATAACTAGATAATGAATCTCAATACAACAATTAACAAAATCAACCTGAAATTCATCCGATTTGACTATCTCATAGCAAAAATAGATATAAATTCATGCAAATTGGATAATATAAACTACTAACAAACTAAGAGCAGATTCAAAACCCCAAAACTTCCATTAAATTGAACTAACAAACAAAAGCGCAAACCCTAGACTTCTTTTTAGTCTTTTTAATCAAATAATCACTTATAATTAATTAAAAATACATAAATTAGGAGGAGATCGAGAGCATACCTTAATGATATTCTTAATGAATGAGTTTTGGAGAAGCTTTAGAGGAGTTTTGGAGGAGTTTTAAAGCAGTTTCAGAGGAGAGAGAAAAGTTTTGGATTTATGTGAAAAAATGGGGAAAAGGAAAAATAGTGAAGGTAAGGGGAACTGAGGAAGCGCATAAATTTCTCAAAAAATAAAAAATAAAAATTACGAGTGAAGTGTGAGTCGTGTGTGGTACTGTGCTAGCATTAGTAACTAACCTTAATCAAGCTCGTTACAATTAATAAAGTCAATAAAAATTGACTTAGTATTTGTAACTGGCCTTTTATGCCCATTACTAATAGTTGGTTAGCCTATCATTGACCTACTATTTGTAACTGACCTTGGTTATGCCAGTTACTAATACTAATTTATTTGTAACCCGCACTATTTATGTTAGTTACTAATACGCTAATTGTAACTAACATAATTTATGCCAGTTACTAGTAGGGCGTTCCAAATAGCATTTTCTACTAGTGACTCTGTCTTTCGAAACCCCATTTGTTCTCCTTTTCATGCTCGCATAGCTGTCTCTTTTGGCCATGGGTAAAAGGTTCTCTTTTCCATCATTCACCTTATGATAACCCAGCCTACTTTTCATAGAAGGAGTCAGATTGCTAATCTCTGTCCTCTTCCTATGATGAATTCTTTGGTGTCTGGGTATCCAATCAAGATCAGTTGGGATGGTCTTAGTCCTGACCAGTTTGAAATGTAATAATCAGCACAAGAATGACAAAGATTGTGCTTAAGTCCCTCTATCGCTTTAACTTGCAAGGGAAATAACTAAATTGCCTCTTTGTAAGACTGTGCCTTTTGTTTGTGATTGCTTGTTTGTCAGGTGACCTACGAGTCCTTTGACCATTCTCAGAGGACTTATTTTTATCCTTCTTCTCTTTAGGATTGAACTCCGCAAGATTCATCGCCTGGTAAACGTTTACTGCATTTGTTTTGTTCTTTTTGTTCAGAAACCCTTTGAAGGCCAAACATTCATTAGTAGCATGAGCAAAACTAAAGTGCCATCTACATATCATCATATCTTCATGATCATCGTCCTGACATAGAGGTGACATAATTACTCCATCCTTGAATAGCCTCTCATACAATCTGACTACAACAGTAACCTCTTTCAGTCTTTGTATGTTATCCTGCACAATATCCATGTCAGCTTACCATAAAACAATTCATTTCATAGACTTCAGACTCTGACGCAAACTCTGATTCTACTTCGCAAGAGCTAACTTTCTCATTAAGGAAATTTATGTGTTTTTTTTATCAATTTCATCATGAATCTTATTTCTATATATTATGCAATTTCTAGTCTTAGGAGTAAAACCGTCATGCCATTTACAATAGTTCTTTCCTTTAACCTCATCAGGACTTCTAGTTTTATGCCTTCCTGCTAACTTAATCTTTTTATGACTCAAAAGCCAATCAAGATCTCATCACATCTCCTAATGTCGAAGGTGTATTCTCTCTTTTGATCAGATTTTAAATCTTTTTTATAAGTGAAATTCTTATTAGTTAAAGGAGGACATTTAAATGAAGGACCCTGTACAAATTCAGCTATCGCTGCCTCATACATGTCATCTTCCTGATCACATTCCTCAGCCATACTAGCATAATACTTATGTTTAGATCTGAACTCTTCTTCTAAACACCACTCATAAGCCATTACAACGCTAGACAAAGCAACGAAATCAGGGAAGTACTGTCCTTCAAACTTTTTCCTGAAAGGAAAGGATAAACCCTTTTGGACGATAGATACGAACTCTAATTCTTATATATTTAAGTGACATCTAATCTTAGCATTCTTAAATATGTGAATGTAATCTCCTATAGGCTCTCCATTTTCTTGCACTATCTTGGCTAAATCACCTATAGTGATCCCTGCTTCAATTCTAGTGAAATGGCAAAGAAATTGTGTTTGCATATCTTGCCAATTTTAAATTGAATTTGGTGGTAAGTGAGTAAACCAAGAAAAGGCAGCACTAGTAAGAAAACTAGAAAACATTCTAAATTTAAGGAATTCATTATCTGTCGCCTCTTTATGCTAATAGTTGAATCTGACTAAGTGCTCCTCAGCAGACATTGTACTATTTCCAAAGAAAAGAGTGGAGAATTCAGGAACCTTGAATCCTCTTGAGAATTTATACATCATGTCAATCCATTGAGGATATGGATTGCAGGTTCCCATTCTAGCATATCCACCATTCTGGCCCATAGCCCTCTAGATTATCTCCTCCACTTGTCTAAGCAGGGGTTCCTATCCCATCTGTGGAGGTTGACCTTGCATTGGACCATTAGGTTGAACTGGTGTATCTTGCATATGAAAGGGATTATGTTGGTTCCCTTAAGGATTGTGGAAACCCCTATATCTAACGCTTGTCCCTCCTAACATATTAGGATTGGGTTGAGACATTGCTAGATATCTTTCTCCATATGGACCACTGGCCTGACCTTGGTTCCATGAGGAACCTTTTGTAAGGTGGACAGAGTTTGGGTATCCATGTGGATAATGGTTATAATTTCCATTTTGTGTAAATGATTGTTGACCATTCATGCCAATAGGTTGAGAGGACATCCTTTGTGCGGATGCAGCAGCTTGTGTGTGGCATGCAGGATCTGGAAGATTTTCAATACCATAGTTGGCATGACTGACACCAATCTCTGCTCCTAAAGGAGGTATGTTACCCATTGAAGAGGTTAATGGGTGTGTGGTAACCGGTGGAGGCAAGGAAGAAGAAGATGGACCCTGACCATTATGGTTATAGCTTGACTTATAACCTGGCCCTAAACCATTAACTCTCCCTTGACTCCTATACCCCTCATCAAAACCAATAGGAGGGATACTTCTTGGAACTGACAGAGGGGGCGGATTTGCATGCAATTTTGTCATATTTTGTATTCTATGGTATCCTAGAGGGACGTTATACCTTTTATTTACTTCAGTAATCCCACTAACTAAAGCGGTTAAAACGTTCATCAACTTCATTGAGTTGGTTATGTTTCTCCACTAAAGGTTCAAGCCTTGTAACCACTTCGGTTGCTACACTCTTTGATAATGCCACGTTAGTAGCGTTTAGACCATCATTAATATCTAGAATAATCCTATCTACCTGCCTGGTAACTGCTTGTTGGGTAATAGAGTCAAAGTTTCTCAACTCGACAGTTACCACTCTAGCGGTTTCTTCCACCATGACACAATAGTAGTGATCAAACTTCTCTCTATTATTTTCTTTTAAATCCTCCATTAGACTCTTCACGATTTCCACATATTTAGTGTAAATTATGTTGAGTAAGTGTCTGGTAGGGGACTGGCTTTCTATTCTTTCCAAAACCGATTCATCTTGCCTTCGTGTATGAGGCTCAAATGGTTTGAAAGGGTGTGCCAGATGTTTTGTTGGTAGTTGATTCTCTAGTTCTAGTTGATCCTTTATAATAATTTCAGGATTGTGTTCAGATGAATTAACATCTTCCTGAGTCTTTCCTTTACGTGCTGAACGCTTAGGAGCCATAGGAAAACTTCCAAATTAACAAAGTTAACTAGATTAAATCTAGTCTTCTCCCACTATGGTCACCAAAAAACTTGTTGAGGTAAATATTGCTCTTTACCAACAAGTTAAATACTCTATCTTGTTCTAGAGTATTAGGGGGCTGCCCCTCGAGTTACCAGTTTCAAAGATTGATAACCTTGCTAACGTAAAACAAAACAATACGGAAGCTTTTCCAAAGGCAGTAAAACAAGTTAGATTGCTCAAAGAAACGAGTAGATAAACATATGACAAAAGATACAAATGCATTCCATTAATTGAAAGATAGAGTCTGGTCTACAATTGTACAAGTTGAAGGAGAGGTTACCTCCATTGTCATACAATTGGAAAAGACGAACAATCTTTAATACATGCTACGTGCTAAACTATACTATCGCTTGGCTACTAAGCCAAGGGAAACTACGAAAGCTAAGAAGAAAGCTAAGAAGAAATGAAATGCTTGTTGTTGATTGATTTGCTGATGCGTTCTTTCTATCCTTAGCTCCTTGCACTTCTATTAAAGGCAAAATGGAGCGGTTATGGCTGACTCCCATAACTGTTGTACGGTCATGCTTCTTGGCGCCAACATTATTTCGAAAATTAAAATTACCCATAGCCTCCTAATCCGGTCCACCTGTAATTGGGCCCCTACGTGATATCAGCCTAACTGCTTTTATGTTTTACCAAATTAGCCCAATTACCTTTCACTAACTCTAGAAACTTCTCAACTCGGTCAAAGTTAAGAAAGTCAAACAAAAAGTCAAAAATTTGATTTTTGGGTGTAACATGCTTCAAGGATTTCAAGCTTTTTGAGAGCTACTAGGCTACATGCCAACAAAAACAGATTAAAAATTTATACTTGTGGGATGGATAAAGGTTGTCAGGGTTTAAGATCGGAAAATTCCCATTCAAATATTTGGGAGTGCCCATAACCACAAAGAAGCTCAAAGCGGCTATGAGTTAATCAACAAAATGAAATCAAGAGTTTCTCAATGGAAGAGTAAGAACTTAAATCTTGTTGTGAGACTCCAACTTGTAAATGTTGTGCTAATGAGTCTCTACACTTACTGGGTTCAAATTATGTTGATATCTCAGCAAAATTATCAAGAACTTCCCTAAAATTTGTAGAAGCTTCCTTTGGTAGGCTGCAAAGTCAGTAACAAAGGAGGATATGTGGCTTAGGATCAGCTTTGCAAGCCTAAGAAATCAAGTGGTCTTGGCATTAGGAATGCATCTTTGCGGAACAAAGTAGCTGTTAGAAAATTAGTCTAAAATATTGTAATAAGGAGGATTCTTTGTGGGAGAAATGGGCCTAAAGTGTTTATATTGAACATTTGAACTAGTGGAATTATATGGAAAACATTACGCCAAGTCAAAGGTGAACTGAAGTATGTTATGATGAATTGAAGGCAGGGCAGAAATATTCCATTAAAAGAATCTCTAAAGAGATCAATCCACACTATAATACCTTTGAGATGGACTAACACAACCTGGTGTAGATATGTAATGCCAAAACACTAATTTATAACTTGGATGTGCATGCTTGGAAAACTTCCAACAAATTGCATAGAAATGGCATATGCCTAGATAATTTGTGCCTAATATGTGGCAAGGAAGAGGAAACCCACCTTAATCTGTATACCTATTCTGAAGTGGGTAGAATGGCAAACTAACACGTGCAACCTAATCAGGTTGATTCATGAACACATGCACAAACGTAATAAAGGAAGAGTGCTTTAACTAATCATAGAAGTAGCAATGGAAGCCATTATATATAACATATGACTACAAAGAAACAATGCATTGTGGAATAACAAGCTGAATACACCAAGTACACTCATATAAGGGATTCAATACATTGTAAATATAAGATTTGTAGGTTTACTTAATGATAATTCGGTAGCAATCGATTGGGTCAATAGTTTGTAATTGATCCTATTCATTACACGTTTGTATAGTCAGTGCTTATATTGTTGTTCATCCTTATAGGAGTTTAGAGGTCATTCCTAAAAGTTTCACTTAACCTCGTATGGATCTAGGATGTAGTTCTTTTGGTAAGCAATATATTTTTTCACTTACCAAAATACAAACTATCAAATGCCATAACACTAGCTTTGCGCAACCACATGTTAATTGACCAACCTAATACATAATAGCCAAGCCTGATAGGTAATGTAATGTGCTTGCTTTTATCAATACTCCGTACACTTCTAGATAGGCATCTAGCGAACAAAAACATAAGTTGAGAGCGTAGTCAACAAATTTCACCTGGTTATGATATGAAGACTAGAGTACCTCCCTTATTAACTAGGTTGTTATTGGATAGCAAAAAAAAAAAAAAAAACATACGATAGGGATTGATTTGGAGAAGGATAATGGGGGAAGGGAGGTGGCAATATGCCTTTCAAACATGTCTCTAAGCACATTATAAGGTGGATGAAATAGCAATTCTGCTATTTTCCACAACATATCTTTTATTTCTCTTTGTGCTCTGAGCCTTTGACCCTTTGAGGAGTTATTTCTACTCATGTCATGTGATGTAATAAGGAGCCGAGGTTAACCTATTGTCTTTGTGTTTCTCCTATACATTATTACATTGTGTGAAGATGCTCTCATCTAGACTTGATGCATAAGATATATATTGAGACCATCCTCTCCTACATTTGTGAGCTTATGAATCTGTCTACTACATTTGTGATTAGTGTAAGAGTGTTGTTAAACATCAGCCTCCAATTACTAAACATCATATCACTCATATTGTTAGACAATCTTCCTAAACTACTCGTCTACTCCTAGCTCGTTCCCTCCCCCTAACAACAACACCACCACCTCTTTCCACCACCACCTCTTGCTACCACCATCTCAAGCCATCACCACAACAGACCACCATCACCACCTCAGACCACCGTAACAACTGCACAAAAAAAATTTAGAACCATTTGTTGAAATTGGTTCTACTTAGGTGGAATCGCAAACGGTTTCAATTTTTTTTTTCTAATGGAGTATAGAATCGTGGGCCAAAAACGTTTCCCCACGATTCTGCTAGTTTTTTCTTTAACTTTTTTTCAGTGGTGGGCCAAGTGCTGGTGGCCGATGTTAGAGGGTGATCGTGCGTCGAGGTGGGCGAAGCGGTGGTGGTGGTTGTTTTAGCTGTTGTGGTTGAAGTGAGTAAAGGTGGTGGTAGAGTAGTAAAGAATGGTGGGTTATGGAAGGTGGTTTGAGGTAGTGATCGCCTTGGTCGGTATTAGAGGGCGTTGTGGTGGTTGGTGATGGTGGTTTAAATCTAGAATCAAATCCATGGGTAAATTAGGAAATTTGCCTATAATGTAGGTGATGTTCAACAATTTAGTTAGTGTAATTCACTCAATAATGATTTATTAGGGAGTCTTAAGTACTGAGTACCAATTGGCAATTTAGAATAAGCTTTTAATAAGGAAATCACCATCATATATAATCTACTCTGTACTTTCATAGTTCGTACCATTCAAGAAATCCATTCTTTGTTTTGGTGGATGGTAGATAAATAAGGAACACCATCTAAAGCATGGTCATAATTAGTAACTAATTCAATATTAATGATACTATTAAACTCAATCTAAAGTTGCAGACCACATGATACGTGGAATTGACGGGTGGAAAATAAAGAATATGGAGTAGTTTTCAACTTGAATCTCTAAGAGAGATGGATTGGTTTCACACTCCCACTCACCAACTATGAAACTATGAAAGTTTAATTCATGAATCCCGAGCAATTCTTTATTTATGCAACAATTAATTCACACACCAACTCACGAATGAGCTATACCAGTTTATATCCTATATATATAGTGGCAGTTTTGAACATATTGTATGCCACATAGACCGAAAATAGCTGTAATAATCGAGTTTCTTGTTGTTGGTCATGTGTTGGTAAAAAATATCAGACTGAAGGCGTTTTAAATCTGTTAGTAACGACATGTAAACGGTAAAAGGCGTGACTGTGTCGTTAAGAAAGTTTAATAAAAAAAAGGAGGAGAGAGAAAATAGAGGCGATTAATGCAGGGAAAGAGAAAAAAGCACCAAATATTGATCGATGAAGTCGTCCATTGTTGGTGAATCATGTTCTTTCAAGGTCAAAAATATTTAGATGACCATAGTCAATAAGTAACTTAGTTTTTTTCGGATGTAAATTGGTAATCTCTGTGGTTATATTTGTTAATTAATCTATAAAATAGTTGTACCCTCATATAATTTAATGTTTCCTTTAAATCTGAAGCATTTGGACTTGGTTGTTTGGAATTACCACTTCTGAAGCAATTATGGTTGCATGATTTCCTGGCTGAATCAGTTTGTCCGGTGAATTTACATGTTAACGCCCCCAAATCTT